CTGTGCATGGACCTGCTGTAGAGCAGAGTCTAATTTTGCTGTGAATGCAAGGTAAGCAGTATAGCACTTGTACATTTGCAATCACTGGCTTCCTATAAACATGCTATGTGCTTGTGCTGCTGTCTACCTTTGTTCTCCCCATGCTGTTCTACTCCAAACCCTAGCTTTTCCATGAGCCCAATCATATCACTCCTGCATAAAACTGTTGGTCCGGAGTAATGAGTCTTATGGCATAGTGGATTAAACTGTTACCCATGATGCCAGAATCCCATAAGAGTACCAGTTCATGTCTTCGCTGCTCCACTTCTAATTCAACTCCCTCCTAAAGCTCCTGGGAAAGCAGATGATGACTCATTTGCCACTCATGAGGGAGACCCATATGAAGCTCCTGGCAGGTGATGAAGCCTTCAGGAAGAGAGGCCTAGTGGAAGGTCCTCAGATCATTGAGGCCGTATCTTCAGACAAAACTTCTTATGTAACTTATTGAGTCCTCCTAGGAGGACTGTCACAAAAAACTTGAGATTGGGTCCTGTGATGAGCATAATAAAAGCCTAGTGGCTGGAGTCCTCACCTTGTATGCACTGGAATCCAATATGGGTGCCGGTTTGTGTTCCAGGGATATGATTCCCATCCAGTTCCTTGACTGTGGCCTGGAAGGGCAGTCAGAGATGGCCTAAGGCCTTGGGTCCCTGCACTCATGTGGGAGACTCACAAGAAGCTCCTGGCTCTGGCTTCAGATCAGCCCAGCTCTGGCTGTTGCAGCCACCTGGGGAGTGGGTCACTGAGCAGAGGATCTTCCTCTCTCACTCCTCTCTATATATCTGGCTTTGCAATAAAAATAAATAAATCTTAAAAAAAAAAAAACCTTTGTATATAGCCATCCCCTTAAAACGTGAAATGCCTGGAATATTAAAATGGTGTGTCACTTATATGTGAATTGTGTGAAACATTGGTTAATGAAATGTAATTGTGTGTAACTTACAGTAAGGAGCAGTAGCAAGAGGCATGTCTGGACTTGTTTGTGAACAAGGACTAGCTTGTTAAGGTGTGTAAGACAAGATAATGTTCAGCTCCGCCTCACTAATCTGTTAGGGGGAGATAGAAGCTGAAGAAGAGAGGAAGCCCCAGTGAGTATAAAAAGGGGCTCAGCTGAGCAGGCAAATTGCTCTCAACCAGCTGCTTGAGGAATGAGCCCCTGTATCAGGTGCTTGAAGCTCCAGCCCGAGAGAGATCCCGGCACTGCTCTATCTCCACCCTTGCCTAGGAGATAACCTCCTCCCCTTCCTCCATCTTTAGTATTCTCTCCAGGGACCATAAAGAAAGTAAGTGTGATGGCCACAGAACATGCCCTCTGACCCGAGACTAAGACATTTACAGGACTTTAGGGTAGGGGGATAAGAGCCTCAATACAGAACTTGAATTTGTAAATTAGCTTGTGAGTCAGGTGACAAAGTAAAGTTTGAATTAGTGTGTTACTGCACAAGAATAAAGCATTGAAAGGTAGATTGTGCAAGTCTCTTAATCTTGCTCAATTCTATTCTCTACTTCCTGGATCACCAGGGCCTCATTCTTCCACATGTAATCCACTATCTGCCATGGAGCCTTCACCAGAGCCTGCATCAAGTTTTTTGGACTCAGTCCCACAACTGTTGAGTTAGATAAATCTCTCTTTTCTTCCTAAGTAGCTGACCTGGCTGTTTCTTTGTAGGAATGAAACGCTGACTAGTTACAGGCTCCCTTTACTTTTGTGTAGTCTGTGGATCCTTCCCCAGTCCCTCTGGCCTTTTTAAAGCAACTGCATCATCCCATACAGGATTCTGCAAAGTCCTAAAAGAGTCCCATTTCCTCTTATCTATATCCAGAATGCAAACTTCCCTGAGGGTGCCTCTCTTCACTCAGATTTAATTTCTCCTCTAGATGTTATACTCAAAATCAACTGCACAGGTAGGCATTGAGCCTTCAGTTACCTGCAAAGCACTCTTACATATGACACAGGTGACTTGGTGACACAGTGCTGAAAAAAACGTGTAATTATAATTAATAATTAATAATTTATAATTGACTGTGTGCTCTCATGTGCCACTCCGAACCTGGCAGGAATTAACTATGACATTTGCTCTTTCTTGGGCAAAGGACTGATGGTGTACTTTCTCTGAATCTGAACCACCACAGGACAAACTCACTGTTAAAAGTAACAACAAAAAGTGACAACATGCCATTAAGAGCCTAAAAGAAATTGGGTCTGTTTTACAATTTGTTCACCTGGTCATTACAAGCCACAAAGCAACTGTTTTGCTTCCATGACAAAGAACAGAAGGGGTTTTTTTTTTTTTGTTGTTTCTTTTTTTTTTTAACAGTCCACTTTGCCAAAGGACAACCCTCCCTCCATCACATTTTGATCCATCCTGATTTAATTTAAACTTTGAAGATAGGGTCTGACCTTATCAGTGGCTGAACTGTTGTCTCATGAAAATGTAGTCTGAAACTTATTAATACGGTAGCCTGTATATTATAACTTAGAAGCTATGGGTTATCACTGAGGCTTGCAATTGCTATGGAAACCAGGTTCATATGCACCTTTCAAAGAGTCTGATTTAAAACCAGGAGAGGGGAGAGATGAAGAAAAAAGAAGTCTCCCTGAAAGACTAAGCTATTTAGTACCCAGCATGCATAGGCAGGTTCAGTGATGCAAAAATGGTCTGCCCACGCAATGACAAAAAACAATTCCTTATGTTTTTTAGGAGCTAATAATGTATAACCTTGTGTTAGGAACTGTGTTTATACTGATGGGGAAGAACGCCTAAGGCAGCTTTCTCCCTTGCCCACATGTAGACACACAAACACAGACACCAACAATTTTCAGTTTTCTCCAGTCTTTTCACAACCTGCATTCTTAAATCCTCCAACGGCGTCCACATGTGCAGCTTTGGCTGTTAAATCCCAGCCTTTGTGGGCACTGACTGAGTGTACAATCCCTTCTCCCTCGCTTAAATGTATGTTGAATGTTGCATTCCATCACTCATAGACTGAATTTTTCTATTGTAAAATGGTAGTCCCAATATGATCAAATTTCTTAATTTACAACTAATTCCCAGTTTTATTCTCCCAACATTTGGGTTTTGGAGGTTCCATCTTCAAGTCCTTCCTTGCACACATTTCTGCTTTGTAACCAAAGTATAGTACTGTGTTAGTACTGGTGTGAACAGTACCCCATGGAAAAGCATTTTCCAAGTTGATATCCTGTGCTTCTAGTGTAGTACCATGTGTCACTCCTTGCAATGTCCTCATTTGTTTATCTCCCCGCTTGGATCTTGTCTCTGATTTTCTCATCTATTCTGCATCCTACTCTTCCCCTAACTCCAGCGAAGTGTGAATTTCATGTCTTCTTAGCAGCAATAGTTCAATAAGGCTGGGCTTTTTCTTCCTTGACCTTCAGGCAGAAGGAAGAGAACAGATCTCTTCTGAAAACTTGTGCTTACCCTGCAGCCATATAGGAACCACGCCTGTGCATTCAGTTGTGTGCCCCAAACCAGAATACTTACCCTTCTTTTGTTCCAGGAATCCTCTACCCCAAGGAAGTCTTCAGAAACCACTCCAGAGCTGTATAGGACTCCTTCTCTATACTTGAAACCCAAGGGGGGCAGAATGTGTTTCATTCATCTCACAATACAGGAAACTACTCTTATCATGTGGTTATTCTTGGTAATTGTATAGTCACTTGTTAGAAGTGCAATGAGCAAATGTGGCATTTGCATCCACATCTCTCTCCAAAGTAATATTCCCATGCATTCTTGAAGTGATAAAATTACGGAAACGGAGAACAGGTGTGGCCATAAAGGGTATCATGAGGGATCCTTGTGCTGATGCAGTGTTTTCAATATTAATTGCAGTAAATCAATACCTTGGATGTTGCATGGTACAGTTACACAACAGTTACACAACAGTCATCATTGGGGAAATTGCATAAAGGTGGGTTAGAATCTGGTAGTTCTCATAACTGAATCTGAATTGACAATTAGCCCAATGAACTTTATTTATTTTTTTATTTACATTGCATTATGTGACACAGTTTTATTTAAGTGAAGCAAACACACAAAGTTTGCATGATCCTATCATGAAACAAAACCTTTCAGTTGTTGTCTAAAAGCTAATTTATCAGTGGAATCCTACATTTCACATCTGTAGCACTTCTGCTACTCAATGTTTACTCCATATGTTGACCCAGATGTTGAAAATAGAAATATGTCTGCTGCAACCAGTTCCAGAATGTCTGAGAGGAGGAAGCATTCCTAACATCTGGACAAACAGTAACATTTCATTAAGGTTAAGAGTTTGGAAGTGTGCAGGAAGGATGCAGAAAACAATGGGTGGAAATTAAGACAGGCATGAGAAGGGACCACTGAGCTTAGTACATCAGCATTTTTAAAGCATACTGATACCAAAGCTATACAGAATGTACAGAATCCAAAACACCACTATAATTTTCACCCGGTAACTCTTGCATTTATTCTCAAACCCAAGATAAGTACTTTTCTGCTTGCATATTTACCAACCTAGATAACCTATTGTACCAATGCATTTTAATTTTTTTAACAAAACCGTTTCTGTAAAAGCTGGCACACCTGGAAGAGAATAACAATTACCTCCCCCTTTAAACCTTTATTGCATTATTGAGCTACAAGAACACACACATATTCAGCGATAGTTTTAATGGTAAGATGTGTATTGGTTTCAAATAAACACAAGAACAAAACTAAGCAGACATTTGGCACTTATTTATTGTCCAAACACTGCTATTTACTTTCTGCAGCACAACTTAAGTGATTAAGTTGTTCCGGACTGCGGTTCCGTTCTAACAAGCAGTTCATTATGGTTGCAGAGTTTCTTAGTGAAGATGGTGAGAATGAAAATGTCTTATATTGGTTACAGTATGATGTTGGTTCTAACTGGAAGAACCTCTACCGGTAAAGAACCGGTAAGAGCTTCCATGATGGTCTTTTTTATTTGTCACGTGGTGGCTCCTCCTTGTCACAGCCATCTTCATCTTCATCCTGTAGTTCTTTTGAGATAAGCTGTCTTGCCAACTTAATGTTCAGTGCCTCATTGTAGTGAAGCTTCCTCTTCATTTCAAACTGCCGTTGTTTTTCCTGGTTTTGAAAGCAGAAGTTGCTGGTATGCGGCTCACATTTCTCTTGCTCTTCCACTTGATAGTTACGATCAAAAGTTTGAGCAGCTGCCAGTTTCTTAGCTAACATGTCCACTGTCACGGCTTCATTTCCTTCTATGTCACAAACTGGATCTTCGTCCTCTGGCACGCTGACATCCGCAGTGCTTGGCTCCTTGATCTTCCGGAAGTCATGGACCTTGTGAGTGGTCACCAAGATGTTATATTCGTCCCACTTTTGAGATTTCTTCCTTTTCACTTCTTGACCAGGCACTTTGGATTCCTGAGTAGAGGCATTCTCCGATGAAGAAGTGGAACTTTTGTTTTTCAAGATCCCTTTGATGGGCTGCCGTGAAGTGCTGGAGCTTGCCATATCTGGCGAGACAAGACAGCTGGGTGGATGAGTACAACCCAGCTATCCTCCTAGTAAAGCTGCAGTGCGGTTGGAACCACAGCTCCGAACAACTAACAGTAGTTTGAGGGTCGTGGTGGCGTCACAAAGGATGCCAAGCCAATCAGCTGTATCTTGCGTCACTTCCGCCTCTTGGCTTAGCGGAAGTGACATGTGTCTCTGAGTCTCCCTCTTTTTTTTTTTTTATTGGACTAAGGTAGGAAGGACCCATTCATTGTACATACAAAGGGGGGCATTACTTTAGGAACTTTCTTTTTTTATTATTTTTTTTTTTTATTGGAAAGGCAGATATACAGAGAGGAGAGACAGAGAGGAAGATCTTCCGTCCAATGATTCACTCCCCAGGTGAGCCGCAACAGCCGATACTATGCCCATCCGAAGCCAGGAGCCTCTTCCGGGTCTCCCACGCGGGTGCAGGGTCCCAAAGCTTTGGGCCGTCCTCGACTGCTTTCCCGGGCCACAGGCAGGGAGCTGGAAGGGAAGCAGGGCTGCTGGGATAGAACCGGCGACCATATGGGATCCCGGGCATGCAAGCCCAGGACCTTAACCGCGCCAGGCCCTTTAGGAACTTTCATACCCCACCCCATCTGCATATGTTAAAACTACGTTTTCTGTTTTTTTTTTTTTTTGTTTGTTTGTTTGTTTTTTTTTACTGTGGGTCACTCAAAAGTTGAAACTCAGTGCTTTGGAAAGAGCTTGGTCAAAAGATGAAGAATGCCACTGTTTTCTCCCTTGCCTATCCACACCCTTCCCCCAACCCCCTATGCACATACTCTGGTCCTGCTAGCCCCTGCTAGCCCCTCCACGGTCTCCATGAAAGACTTCAATAGTCATCCACTTAGATCAGTTAGGAATCTTGGTGTTGTTCCCAGTCCTTTCATATTGCTCACTCTCTAATCCAATCCTCAGATTTTGGCCTCAATATTACCAAAAAAAAAATATTATTTCAAATATCTCACATCCTGGGCTAACCATATCATAGTCTTAGAACCAGGCTACCAGGAGCCCCCTCCACACAGTCTTTTATCCACCCATCTATCCAGAATAATCTTTTATAAACACCTATCAGATTTTATTGCCTATATTCCATGCCTTTTAAGGACTACACACCACCTTTAAACATAAAAATCAAAATATAGAAGAGGCTGAACAGTAACTGCATGGTCTAATCAGTCTGCTTAGGAGTCCATCTAGAAACTTCTGTCCCCCAGATTCTCCCTATCCTCCCTGTCCAAGAGTCATTTTGACGGTTCTTTCTGTAGCTTGGATTATTTGTAAAAATTTGAGCACAATCATTGTTGTCTCATGGGGACCTCAAAGCAAAGAGCCACTCCCATAATATTTTTAAGGCATCTCATTCTCCCTGACAGCACTCAGATTCATAACATATTATTTAGTGTACACTGGATGGTTGCTAAACCCCAAGAGGAAAATTAAGTGACAAAGATTATGTCCTTTGACTAAACTGATCCAGTTTCTCTGAGCTTTGTGCTTACTTATGCCTGACCTTGGGTTTCTCTCACTGTCTTTGTAGAATCCAGTTTGAAGAAGAATGCTATTAAACCATTTTAGTGAAAATCTGCCAACCTTGATATCTGTCCACTCTACATATTTGATCAATTCTTCAAATTGTTGAATCACTCTGGGTAATGTGATTACTATGGCCTGTTTTCATGTCTTACAATGAGTGTTTGATTACTCTGGCCTGCTTTTAGTGAAAATCCTGTTGGGTTGGTTTAGCAAGACCTTTCCCTCAATGCTTATCACTGATGCTTCACATCCTCTAATTTTTCACCCTAGCTACAAGGCAGGAGCTGAGCTGAGCTAAAGCCAGGAGACAGGAGCCTCCTCCGGGTCTCTCATGTGGGTGCAGGGACTCAAGGAGTTGGGCCATCCTCTACTGCTTTCCCAGGTCATACACAGGGAGCTGGTTCAGAAGTGGAGCATCTGGGACACTAACTGGAACTCATATGGTATACCAGCATTGCAGGTGGAAGATTAGCTCACTGACGCCATTCAGCCAGCCACCCACCTCCCTCACTGTCTTTAAAAAGTGCTATGAATATTTTTTGCTTTATCAGTTATGATACAAATGACTCAATAAAATTTAGATTCATCATTGAATCTTGGACATTCTATCCAGGACCCAAAGTATGTACCCTTGAAGCTTTGTCTGCACTCTTGGCTGACTGATGGACAAACTGATGAGCCTAACTACTGAGTTCATGCCTGGGATGGAAGTCCATTGAAGCAAGGTGAAGATATATGGTTGATTCTGAATAATCTAGTCTGAGTTAGAATTGCAACCTTCTTTTGAAAGTTATGTGTCTTAGATTTGTTTTTTGTTGCTATAACTAAGCAGTACAAACTGGATAATTAAGAATAAAGATTTATTTTGCTTATGATTTTGAAAGTTGGAGAATTCAAGCTGTATTTAGTAATAGCTTTCCTGCTGGTAGGAGTTCTCTTAAGAGTCTCCAGGTGAGGCCTGGCATGGTAGCGTAGCAGTTAAAGTCCTTGCCTTTCATGCGCCAGGATCCCATATAAGTGCCGGTTCATGTCCCAGCAGCCCTGTTTCCCATCCAGCTCCCTAAGGCCAGGGAAAGAAGTGAAGGAAAGCACAAAGTCTTGGGACCCTGCACCCACATGAGAGACCTGGAAGAGACTCCTGGCTTTGGATCAGCTCAGCTCCGGCCAATGCAGCCACTTGGGGAGTGAATCATTGGATGGAGGATCTTCCTGTCTCTCCTCCTCTCTGTATATCTGACTTTCCAATGAAAATAAATAAATCTTTTAAAAAAGGGGGGCTGGGGGTTTGGGCCAAGCAAGGTGGCCTGGCAGCTAAAGTCCTCACCTTGAACATGCCAGGATCCCATATGGCCAACAGTTCTAACTTCAGTGATCCTGCTTCCCATCCAGATCCCTGCTTGTGGCCTGGGAAAGCAGTCAAAGAATGTCCAGAGCCCTGGGACCCTGCACCCACGTGGGAGACCTGGAAGAAGCTCCTAACTCCTGGCTTTGGATCGGCTCAACTCCAGCCATTGTGGTCACTTGGGGAGTGAATCATCGGACAGGAGATCCTCCTCGCTGTATATCTGACTTTGCAATAAAAATAAATAAATCTTTTTTAAAAAAAGAGCTTCAAGATAGCACTGGATGTAACACAACACAGAACATTCTAGTTCCAGTTTTCTCCCCTTTCTTTCTTTCTCCATTTTCTTTCTTTCTTCCTTTGTTTCTTTCTTTCTTTCTTTCCTTCCTTTCCTTTCTTTCTCCTTTCACTTCCCTTCCCTTCCCTTCTTTCTTTTCCCTTTCTTTCCTTTCCTTTCTTCCTCCTTTCCCTTCCCTTCCCTTCCCTTCCCTTCCCTTTCTTTTCTTTTCTTTCTTTTTCTTTCTTTTTCTTTCTAAATCACAGCCATACTGGACTTCAGCTTCATCCTATGGTTTGTCTCACTGACCCAGACTTACCTGCTAAACCTTTTCTTTCCAAATACAGGCCGACTTCAAAATAGTCATGGAGGATATAATTAAAGGATAAGTCTAGGACTGACTTTGCAGTGCAGGGGATAAAGCTACCACAGGCAATTTAAGTTCTAGCTGCTCAGTTCAATCTCATTCCCAGTCAATGCACCTGAGATAAAAGGTGGAAAATGGCCCAAGTGCTTGAGCTCATCCAAACACATGGGAGACCCAGATGGAGCTCCAAACACTGGACCTCAGCCTGCCCCAGACCTGGCTGTTGTGGCCATTTAGGGAGTTAAACAGCATATGCAAGATCTCTCTCCATATGTCCCTCTCTCCTTTTATAAATCTTTCGAATTTATACATTAATCCCTAAAATAAACAGTTGATCTTGGTACAAACATTTTTGAAATCCATGTGTAGTTTTTTTGAGAATTCTCATTTTCCATATACTTTTTGGAGAGTGCTCATATCAAAGAATTTTTCTATACTGTTAACACCTTGTAATTGTAATGGGGTTTAAATTTCCACATGAATTTTAGTGGAGACATTCAAACCATATCAGTACTTCTGGGCTGAAGTCGTTTTTTTTTTTTTTTTTCCTTCCTGGCTCTTTGATACATACATATCAGTTATTTGTGACTCTTCTGTGTTGATTCCTGTGTTGTAATTTTTTTCTTGGTTCTTCATAAGGCCTTTTGTCCTGACTGAAACTACTGTATCCATTGAAGCTTCCCAATTGTCTGAGACCCTGCTTTTGAAACTTCTGTTGACTAACATTCTGCCATCTTGATCCACTTCCCTTCTTTCCTTGGTGTGATTTTGCTAATGAGATCATTTGTAAGTTTAGTGCCTCTTTGGGGAATATAAGAGCTCCCCAAATTAGCTCATTTAAAGTTTCTCTTTTCCACCTGTTTCATCTCTTTCTTCCTCTTACCACCTTATATCTTGCCTTCAACTCCTTTGATAAGTTCCCTTTCAGGAACTTTATCTCCTCTACCCTCAGCTTTGCCCTTCCAGAAATTTCTCTATCAACACTGCTTCTTAACTCCCTGTTACTTCAACTTTAGGCCCACAACCTTTACTGGAGGCTCTTAAGGTACTCAGACATCCCTGAAAACAACTCTCTGTGGTGGAAAAGAAAGGGCAAGCTAATTGAAAGGACCTTGAATATTTTATCACTTCAGATGACCTTTGGAGACATGTAGACATGTGCTTGATGCCCCTCAGTGTCTTCTGTAAAATTTAGTCTGCAGCTTTCATAACATTTTGTATCAGAGAAGAAATAAATCTTGGAGGTCTTCTCCACAAAAATTGATAAAACGCTTTAGTCCTTATTGAGCAACAACCCAAACCTGTCCCATTTGTGTCAGAAACTCAATTCGAACAGAAATAAAAGCAGGAAACAATCTAGTGAGCTTTGTATGATAGTACTCTCTGATTTATGACTAACATTTTAGAATGAAAAATATAAAATTTATCTTCATATCGGAATGTTT